TTTTATAACAGGGTCTCACTAAGTCCCTAAGTTGCTCAGGCTGTGCTCAGATTGGTAATCCTTCTGCATCCGCCTCCCAGAATTCTGGGGTTACAGGTGTGCACCACAAGGAGGCCATTTTTATTCCCATTTTACAGATGGAGAAACCGAGGCACAGAGGTTTAAGTAACTTACACAAAGACATAGACAAATTAAGTGGCAGAGCCAAGGTAGAAACCTGTTTCCCTGAAGATTGGAGCCTATTCTCATAAATACCTGGAAAGCCCACAGATACAAATGAAGAATTTATTTATTTTACAAATAAAGAATTTAGATTAGAATCTGTTAAATTACAAAAAGATTCATCAAACTATTTTCTAAATCCCGAAACACTTCAATAAAGAAAAGCACATAATTTTATTTTGTGAAGTTCTTTTTCAATGACCAAATTTTAAGGAGCATGTGTTTAATGTAACATATATATTTCTGCTTTACGTGGGAGGGATCATTTCTAAGCCTCTCATGGGAAGGGTTAGTTTTGATAATAATTAATGATTGACTCACTTTCTTATTGGTATTGGGTCACTAAATTTAGAAAGGACCCATGGGCAAGGTGGTTTATAATCTAAGTACACATTTTACAATTATACATTTGTTCATATATAGTCGTGCATAATCAAATTTAATCAAATGGACAGCTCGAAAGAGTGTGATTATTGTGTTAGTGTGACAGAACAGGATTGGAGGCTTTCTTCTTGCATCAGCCATCAACGTGATTTATAGATGTTTTATCTCATTAACCTTTAAGTCACAGAGTTAATTAGTGATTCTGGAAACTGCAAAACACACTGGAGTGATCACGTAGCTCTTTAACTTCACCATGCACCAAATTAAAGTGGACCCAATTATTCCAAATCGTAGAAGACACCTTTTCAGTGGCTTTGTATCCTTCATTTCACATGGCTCACCAGGTGGAAAATCAAATTCAGTCTCGATCCTGGTTCTGTCTCCTAGCTGCACACCATATTATAGCAAGACCATCTGGGCCAGGTGTGGTGGTGTACATCTGAAATCCCAGCGCTCGGGAGGATGAGGCAGGAGGATCACTGCAAGTTAAAGTTCATGGCCTCCTTGGGCACCGAGATGCTGCTGAGGCACTGCAGAGCTGGAGGCAGTTTTCATTTCTTTTTTCCTATTGATGCTTCTGGAACACAAGGGGTGACAGGACTGTGTGGCAGGGAGGAGGACCCTGGCGCACAAACAAACACAGATTTTCTTCTCTTCCTAGCCTTCCCTAGGATTCTGAGTGGTCAGCTAGGATGGGATGGTGACAGAACTGTAACAGACTGAATGAGTTTAGGAGAAAAGACGCAAGCTGGGTGTGGTGGTACATGCCTGTAATCCCAGCGCTCGGGAGGCTGAGGCAGGAGGATTGCCTCGACGTTGAGGTCTGCCTGGGCTACATAGTGATTTCAGGGCCAGCTTGAACTATAAAGGGAGACCCTGCCTCAAAAACAAATGAAACAAAAAGACGGAGCATTCTTCTCTGGATTAGGAACGGGTCATGTGTAGCTGCTGAGTGGGACTTTGATCAGAAAAATGACCACCTCTTCATGACACCTAGGAAAGGCTGACATTACTTTTAGGGCATTTAGAGTTAGACTTACATTTTTTTTTTTCTTTTGACTTACATTTCTTTTGAGTAGAACGCCGCAGGAAGGTGACCTCCATGCAGAAGGAAGAAGGCTCCGGTTCATTCAAGTCACATTTCAAATAATTCTCCAGCACAGGAAAGTAAGTGACCTGGGTAGAGAGATGTAAGATAATGGCTTACAGCACGGTCTGCTGAATTTTTATGGTCTTAGAGCCACAGGCATGAAGCGTAGGGAGCAGACGGGAGCGGCTGCAGGCTGCAGTGTTATTAGCAGGGGGAGGCTCTTTCACTGCTTCTAAACTTCAGGGTGAAGCTGGGGTTTCTTTTGGGGTGATTCCACACGAAAAGCAAACCCCAATGCTGGAGTGAGGAGAAGATTAAACTTTAATTTTTTTCTTGATTCAGTCTGAAAATAGACTAGGTTGATGGCCCACAGTAACATTTTGGTATGGTTCTTGCTCTGTAGGTGCCAAGCTGCTGTCCTAATGTCTTGCTAATGTCCCTCCCTCAGGGGTGCAGGTGTGTCCCCGCCTGCTTGGGGTGAAGGCCAGGAAACTAACCACAATCTCCTGGCTATGAGACCAGGCTCCTGCCTTGGAGCCAAAACAGGGTGGAACCCAGGCGGGCAGGATCCCAAACCACGGAAGCTCAAATTAGGTCATTCTTGTGAACATGACAACTCCGTGTCTCTCTAGGCCAACAAAATGAAACAGATCCAGTGGAAAGTGGCTTCCAGGACCGAGAATCTGATGGCCATGCCCACTTGCCCTGTTGATGTTTTAGAGGAATGGAGAGTCAGCCATTCTTCGTCACAAGCCAAGGCAGGTCCTGGGGTACATTTACACGGGTCTACGGCAGGAAAGTCGAGTGTGAGACATTTCAACTCGGGGTCCAAGAGCCAATGGGTATAATGTCAGATTTCTTGTTGTCCATTCACATGCAGCTGGCAACCTGGGGACTGCACACCGGGCAGGAACTGTCTTTCCAAGCCCCAGGGAGAGCTGCAAAGACGTTCTGGGGATTGTCGCTCTGTGGGACCAAACTTTCTGGGATAGGTAAGATGAGGTTGACAGTCAGGTCAGTGGAGAGGAACAAATAGTGGAAACTGATAGTCCCCTTTCAAATAATTATTCTAGGGAAATTTGCCATGGCGTGGGGAGGCTCTAGGCAGAGCAGATGAGTCTTTGGGAATACGCAATTACTGTTTCTTCTGTTCTCTGTGGGAATGAGCAAAGCAACACTGCTTTGAAAAGCATTCCCTTGCCAGGAGTGGTAGTGCCCACCTGTACGCCTAGCACTCAGGAGATGGAGGCAGGAAGAATGCCACAAGTTCGAGGCCAGCCTGGGAGGCTGAGGCAGGAGGACAGCAAGTCTGAGGCCAGCACTGGCAACTGAGTGAGGCCATGTGTCAGAAAATAAAAAGGTCTGGGATGTAGCTCAGTGGTAGAGTGCCCCTGGGTTCAATCCCCACTTTTAAAAATCTCTCATGTTCATAGCACATTTAAAAAGATCACTAGGAAAAAAAGACAAAAAACCTGGCTTTTTGAAAAATTTGTCAGAAATCTGTCCACTTTGTTCCTAGAGCATAATGGAAACGGACAGATTGTGCCGGAATCCTAACCTCTACTGCCAGGGTAGCCGAGATGGTCTGGATAATACCGCCTATAGGAAAACAAACAGAAACTTTTCAGAGTGCCATCCCTGAGGTCTCGCAACAGTGATCTCTTCAAAAGTGAGTTATTGATGCATTCTTCTAAGGTTAGTTAGGAACAAACACTCTTTGTTCTTTGTAGGATTTAACATTTGCCCAACCTACTTATATTGCATGGAATTTGGACTCAGCCCACAAGAGCCGCACTGGTTGCCTTTGACCCTGGGGAATATCCTACTGACATCTATTTTGAATGCAGGAAAGAGGAGAGCACAGCACTAGAATTGATTCTGAGTGTATTACATTCTGTCCCCTTAGAAACATGTTTGGGCCTCTTCATGAAAGCACCCCTGCGGACCGGATGGGGTGTTTCCGGCTGGGGCTTCTCAGGCTGCCTGCTTACCCACGCTCTGATAACCTCATGCCTCTTCTCGGGCAGGTGAAGGCTGGCTAGGAAAGGTGCCATGCCCTGGACTGCCATTCTCCCTTCCTGCTTCCTGTCGTCAGTCATCAACTTCCTGCTTTGATCTTCTGGCTCGGTGCTTCTTCTCCAAGTCTTCTGCAGCCTCTGAGATGTATGAGGGCAGCTCACAGCTTCAAGATCTCCTTCTTCTTTCGAAGGGGCCACTTTCTCTTTTCCCTCCCCAGATAGGTGCTGCCCATCATACGGAAGGAATTAAATGGACACCCTGGAGCTTATGATGTGTGACACTGGTCTTCACCCAAAGTCCACGGATCTCAGCTTAGTATTTCTCAGTCTTGGCTGTACGCTCAGACCATCTGGGGAGTTTCCAAAATTCCATGGGGGTGGGGGACACAGCTCAGTGGTAGTGCGCTTGCTTAGCATGCGCCAAGATGAGCATCACAGAACAAACAAACAAACATGCTTAAAGTCCAGAATTCACCTAGATCAATTAAAACAAGACCTGGGGATGGTAGGCAGGTGCTAACAGTTTATAAAGTTCCCCCAGGTGACACCACTGTGCAGCCAAGGGTGGGGGACCGCCTGCAAAACAGGTAAAACTGCTTCTGGGTGGGCTTAGGTGCATTTTTCTGGAAAAGCTGAGCCATAGCTCTCCAAAGCTTGACACCCTCCTCCTTCTGCACCTTTCCAAAAATGCTCATTGTTTGGTCTGAGGCCATAAATAAGCACAGAGCTTGCCAACTGTTAAGGTGACACCCATGTGCTAACTAAATAAGGTAGCATCAACACGCAGAGCAAGGGAAGTGCCCACGGCCCATGGCCCGGAGGAGCAGGTGAGGCAGCGCCATCTGAGATGCTCAGCTCAGGCACCTCGCTGCCTACAGAGCTAAAGCTTGACTCCCAGCACCGACCTTCCTGTTCTTCCGTCACCTGGGCCAGGCTGTCCCTTCTAGCTCACCTGCCTCTCTTCCTCCCACACCCTGGCTCCAGCAAGGTGCTCAGTGTCCATTTTCTGGACCACTGTGCCTCTGCCTCCCTCCTTCTCGCAGTTCCTCCTACTCTGTATGGGGAAAATGCCTGAGGGGGAGTTTCCTGGAAAACGAGGTGCCCAGGTCCTGCTTGGCCAATGTGTGTGCAGGATTGCATCCGTGTTAGGGGTACCTCCTACTCAGGGATCGGGGGTGACATACAGAGATCCAGAAGCTCTTAAGTCCTGGCCGGGGTGTGCGGAGCATGGGTGGGGTTGGCGTGGGCAGGCCAGTGATCGAAGGGGTCCAGGAAAGTCTGGCAGGTTCCGTGAGTGGAGGGTGGGTGTGGATGGGTGGGTGGATGAGGCAGGAGAGGCTCTGAAAGGTACTGATGTCCGGCAGGCGCAGTAAGGGATGGCAGCACCAGGTGATGCAGGACACTGGTGGCAGCCCGCAGGTACCCACACAGCCCTGCCCCCGCTGGGCTTTCGCACTTGCTTCCACAGGAAGTCCTCCCTGTAATACTCAGCTGTTGAGGCAAGGGCCCAATTTTGAAGATTCCTGATCTGCCTGGAGGTGTCTGAGCTTGTAAAGGCACCAGCTCTCTGCAGGAAGCCCCAGCTTTTCTCTTGTGCAGATTCCCTCCCCCCCCATCCATGTTCCCAGACCTCTGACGATGGTGAGGGAGCCAGTGTCGCGGGCCCTGTGGACAAGAACTTGGCTGCGCTCTCCAGCCACGAGGCGGGCAGGGCATGGGTGTGGCAGTGGGCAGGGTGAGGGGCCGGGAACGGACACAGCCTCCGGATACTGGGTTTGAATTCCATCACTAAGGGCTGGGAAAACAACGTCCACCAACACCATCAGACCCTGCGTGGAGAGCCCAGACCCAGAATCAACCTTCTCCGCTTCCATTCTCCTGGGCTGAGAATCCGAGTGGCATCTTCTCATCTCTTGAGCACCCCACTTCCCAGAGAGGATGTTCCTCCTCCAAGGGCTTCACAGTTTCTCTCTGGGCCCCCATGATTCTGTAATGGTTCTGTACTGTTAAAAAACTTTTTGAGACAGGGACTCACTCTGTAGTTCAGGCTGGTCTTAAACTCACTAGCTAGCCCAGGCTGACCTCGAACTCACAGCGATCCTCCTACCTCGGCCTCCTGAGGGCTGACATTATAGGCGTGCAACACCATGCCCGGCTGTTCTGTACTTTTATTAGGCATAGAAGGTTCGTTATGTGAATCCAGGTAAAAAAAAAACCCAATCATGAATTACAGCTACATTAATAAGCATTTTAATTAACACCGGCCGCCACCATGTGTTAAGTGTGTATAACAGGTGGATGCCGCATGAACTGTGAGACTAGAAAACTGCTGCCTCACTTGCTATCTCTTTTTAAAAGCAAGTTTATAGCTATAATCTGAGCACTTGAGAGGCCAAGGATTTCCAGGAGTTCAAGGCTAGCCTGAGCTACACAGCATGACCCTGTCTCAAAAACAAAAAACAAGCCTAAATATTTTTATGAACCCAAAACTTTTGACAACACACAAATACTTATCATTTTCTGCTTAAATATAAACATTTATTAATATTTTGACATTTATATGTTGCTTCTCACTGTAGGTTCATTCATTTGCCAGGCACTGAGAATACAGCACTGAAGGAATAAGACAAAGTTCCTGGTCTCAAGTTATATTCTCAAGCAGGACAAGGACGCCAGAGAGACCAAAAAGTACATAAATACAATTAAGTGTCAGTAAGCGCCGTTTAAGGAAAATACAGCACAAAGAAAGCGGAGCAGGGAGCCTGAGTTCGAATTCTGCTCTTTTACACAAGGTGGGCAGGGAAGTCCTCATGGACGAGGCAGCATGAGTGGCAGGACTTACTGAGGGGTGTGAGAAAGAAGTGGCAAGTTTGTGCTTGACTCGAGCAACTAGCAAAATGGTCTTGTCACACACTGAGGTGGGGGAAGCCAGGGAGCCGAGGGTGCAGATGTGACAGGCTCCACACCTCACACTGCAACAGTGCGGGACCAAGGTGACAGTGACTCTCTCTTCCCGTGAGTCTCTCCTCGAGCCCTTGCCTCCTGCTGTCCCCCGAGACACTCTGAGGGTCCCCGGTGACCTCCAGCCTGCCCAGTGCCTCTCGGGCCCCATCCACCAGCGCCGCTTTACACAGTGGAACCCGCTTTCTCCTCCGTGGGCCACATCCTTCCCTTGGCTCCCTGGCGTCCACTCTGCACGGCCGGGCAGTGTGCAAAGGAAGCCAGTCACCAAGGACCCTGTGGGGAAGGCTCGAAACTGTGAACTGGAATCCAGAGCAGTGGGGACTGGAGACAACCCGGGAGCCACAGATTCCAGGGTTCTGAGAACATCCCACAAGAGAAGCAGCTTTATTTTATACTCTAAACCTCTGAGATGGTTTTAGTTTGGATGAAGACTCCATGATTTAAAGCCAGGCTTACATGGGGTGTAATGGGTGGCATGTGCCTGTAACCTCAGCTTTAGGGAGGCTGAAGCCAGAATACTGTAAATTTGAGTCCCACTAGGTAATTTAGCAAGACCCTGTCTCAGAATTAAAAAAAAAAAAAAAAAGACCAGGCGTAGTGGTGCATGCCTGCAATCCCAGCACTCGGGAGGCTGAGGCAGGAGGATCACTGTGAGTTCGAGACCAGCCTGGGCTACATAGTGAGTTCCAGGTCAGTCTCAACTACATAGTGAGACTCTGTCTCAAAAAGAAAAAAAGGGCTGGGGATATAGCTCAGTAGCAGTAGAGTGGGCCATGGTGCACGCGCATGGGAGGCTGAGGCAGAAGTGAGGCATAAGGCTGAGAGTTCGAGGCCAACCTGGCTACATGGTGAGTTCAAGGACAGCCTGAACTATATAGTGAGACCCTGTCTCAAACCAAACCAAACCAAACCAAATCAAACCAAACCAAACCAACCAGAGGTAAGTAGTAGTCGAGTGCCCCTGGGTTTGAGACCCAGTGCCCACCTCAGCGCCCTCCCCATACACAGAGGCTTTGAACCCATTAATCTAGACTATGGCTGTGTAGGAGACTGTGGTTTTGACATATCACTCCCCTCCCCCACAAAAAGAAACCAGAGTATTTTAGAGAAACAGCTGAGTCAAGGTTTGGGTGAGGCAAAGTAGAAGGCTGACCTGAATTGGCGTGTGACAGGAAGTAAGGAGGAACAAGAACGTTGGCCGCATGGAGGGGCTCCTAACACACAAATTTGGGAGCATCTGAGCATCAGAAAGAATAATGACTATGGATGATTATAAAACAATGATTATTGGCAAAGAGAAACAATTATTTTTAGGAGGGACTATCGTTTTTGTTTTGTTTTTGAGACAGGGTCTCATGTAGTTCAGACTGGCCTTAAACTCACGACTTAGCCTAGCTTAGCCTAGCCTTGCTTTAAACTCTCAGTGTCCTCCTGCTCAGCCTCCTGAATGCAGGGATTACAGCTGTGCACCACCACACGCAGCATGAAAGCTTTTCTTTGCAGAAGAAAGCCAGCTAATGAGGAAGCTATGATAGAAATTAGGAAGTCACCATTGCCAACCCCAAATGTAATTACTGAGCTGAGGAAGGATAATCAATGGATCCTAACACCATAAAGTGAAATTTTGTTGCAGAACAGGATATTCTCATATACCAAAGTTTCCAGAGAAAACTACAAAGAGGAAAACAAAGTTCCTTTATACTAGATCTAGGGTTTATCCCACTTAGCACTAGCAATAGGACAATAAAACATTCTGGCTCCTGATATGTTGCAATACGAAGTTCGGAACATCACTGATGAAATCCTCTTGAAGAAAATGTGTTAAATGGAATTCAGTCAAGTCTTTAAATCTACCTTCCAATTTACAGGAAATACAGGGGATAGAAGAACAAATAAAATGGTACAGTAAGGAAACAATCAGACAAATTCAAAATATAAGACACTCAAAAAGAAACCAGGTTAACTGGGCATGGTGGCACATGCCCGTCATCCCGGCACCGGGAGGCTGAGGCAGGAGGATCGCTGCAAGTTCGAGATCAGCCTGGGCTACATAGTGAGTTCCAGGTCAGTCTCACCTACATAGTGAGACCCTGTCTCAGAAAACAAACAAAAAAAGAAACCAGGTTAGTTTTTTCAAACTTTCAGTGTCATGAAAAAAATAAGTAGGGGCTTTTGTTTTAGGTTGGACAGAGGTTAAAGATTTATGACAATGGAAGATAATATATGAACCCTGATTGCATACTTTTTTAAAGAAACTAGCTATAAAATACAATTTTTAGATTAGATGTTAGGATTCGATATTAATTAGATATTAGGAAACCACCCTTTATTGTTTAGTCTGTGTAGACCAGGCTAGCTTGGATCTTGCATTCCTCCTGCTTCAGCCTCCCAAGTGCTGGAATTACAGGCATGGAAACCACTCTTGACTTTTTTAGGAATAAAAATAGCACTGTAGTTAATAAGACTTTACTCTTGAGAAGTACATACAAGTGTATTTAAGGGTAGGGGTTGTAGTGTTTGCAATTTACTTTCATACAGCCCAGTGGGAGAACCCCACTGAATTTTATGCACACGTATCAACATGAAAAAGGATAACATTTTGCTGAGTTGAGTATATAGTTTGTTCATTGCACCACCCTTCAACTTTTTCATATATTTGACTTTTTTTTTGGTATTTTGAGACAGGGTATCACTATTTAGTTGAGACTGACCTGGAACTCACTATGTAGCTTAGGCTGGTCTCGGACTCACAGCAATTCTCCTGCCTCAGCCTACCATGTGCTGGGATTACAGGTGTGCTCCACCATGCCCGGTTTATGTATTTGACTTTTTAAAAGTAGAAAATTAGAACTGGAGACACTGTACCAACTCTGGGTGTCACTTGGATCTTTGAAAAGATCACGAGTGACTGTTATGCATAGTCAGGGATAAGAATCATTGAACCAATGCCCATATTGAGAACAAAATTGAGTCCTAAAAAGTTAAAAGTGGCTTTCTAAGGGATAAAGTCTATAATTCATGCTCTTTGACTTTCAGTCTTGTATTGTTTTCTTATAAATCTTCTAAAGGAATTTACCAGCCAAGAAACTTTATCTTCTTGAACACCTGAAAGTCCCCCATCCCCCAGAAGATGAACCCATGAGATTAAGTGTGATAGGTAAGGAGGGCTTTAGGCACCATAAGGAACTCAGGTGTTGCATGGTAAGATGAGTATGAAGAATTCTTAGAGGGCCGGGGATTTAGCTCAGTGGTGCCGCCACCTCCCTTGCAAGTACAAGGTCCTGAGTTCAATCTCTGGTACAAAAAAAAAAATAATTCTGGAAAAAAAAAAAAAAAAAAAAAAAAAAAATCTTGGAGGTAAAGAACCTATAGATTCTAAGGGCAAAGACAGTCCTAATTTAAAAAATTGAATTGTATTGGAAAGCCACATTTTCTTTTTTCTTTATGCAGTGCTGGGGCTCAAATCAAGGACCTCTTGCATAGTAGGCAAGCACTGTACCACTGTGCTAAATCCCCTGCTTCTGAATTTTCTAAATAATTTTATTGCTTTCAGTGAAAGTAATTTATGAGACAGAATTTTATTCTATGTCTGCAAAAATACATAGGTTAATGACCAGATTAGGGAAAAAAAACAAAACCAAAAAACAAAAACAATACCAAAGTCCTGATTACTTGTTGGGAAATTAGGTTGTAGATGACGTCCCTGGTGTTGGAGCAGTGCAAGTTCTTTACAGAGACACAAAGAATAACTCATAGCATAGTGGTAGGTTCCAGTGTCTAGAAAAGCAGTAGTCTTCGGAGTCAGGAAAGACCTGGTCTAAATTCTGACTCTGCCGCTAATTTTGTGCTGGTAGGCAAGTTATGTGCGTGATCTCAAGCAGTCATTCAGCCCCTATTTTCACACAATGGTATGGTAGGTGTGTTTGGATACAGAAATTAAGGAGATACAATAGATAGTTAAGGCAGAATTGCTAACTTCCAAGTGGAGATGGAGCTGGATTAGAGGAAGCTTTCCAACATCTTCAGGAAATATGTACGTAGGGGCTGGTAGTTTGAAGCAACTTTTAAGTACAAAACTCAGTTTCTGTGGCTCTAAGGTTGTGATTATTTGATAAAACAAGGACAGCACCTAATTCTCTCCCAGGAGTAGGAGTCAGGACCTGGGGTGTGAACTCTGAGTGACAACGAGGTCTGAGTCCCGAGAGAAGGGGATTTCAGTAACCACTGTTATAAAAGGAAAACACACTCTTCCCTAAAGAGCAAAAATCTGAAAACCCCGAGGGGCGTGGCTCCGGGCAACACCCGGAAGTCCTCTCCGGAACCCGTCCCTGCCCCGGAAGTAGTTGTTTACTGGGGCCCTGGGCAGTCACGGAGATTGCAGGGCTGCGGTAACCATGTTCCTTTCCGCTGTCTTCTGTAAGTGGGGCTAGAAGCTGCGGCGGGGCCTCGGCGAGCGCAGGGCCCTTGACAGGCCCAGGAATGGTGCGGGGTAGG